TGCATCGGTGCAACCGGCTGAGGAACGGCAAGTAAGTTGGCGACTTGGGAATAATATGGAGAGTTTGTTTCGATGTTTCGTTGTCTTAATGACAGAATGGAAGAGATGTGCGGTCGTGTTGTCCGAGGCGAGCGTCCCTTGTAACTGCACTTTGGCATATAATAATCAAGTATAATAATCAGCACGAGGTATAGCCCTAAATTCGATAATTATTCCAGTCAACTATTATGCAAGACCAATTTTCTATTCTTCCTTAAAAATTTTATAGACATTGATACTTTAGTCCATTAGCGCACAGATAACTTTTAAAGCTGATACCCATACCATGACGTGGATGACTTGAAGCCGATAGGTCATCTGATTCCATGGCTGGTTGCACGTTCTTCATGCAGCCGATTGTGGAATCAGAAGGCTCATCAGCGCTAGTATGCAAATTTCAGAATATTTAAAGACTGGAAATTTAATAACATTATCGATTCTAATTTTTCATATGTGTCATTCGTAACGCATTGTTACAGTAATTTCTTCCAAATCTTATTTTCATATCGCAGCCATTCCTGTGGCCAATCCTAAATTCACTTCACTTTCCATGACCACTTCTCCATTCGGATCGCGGAGGCAGACGCGTCATACGGTGTTCTCAACGTTCCCGATCCTGTGCCAGCATGTGAGCATCGGCCGAAGACAACCGGGGTCGAGAGAAGACTCCTTCAATCGCTTGCTCTTGGACACCCCCTAAGTCTTCTGCCGATCGGCTGGGCAACCAGCAGTGGCTTCGCCTTCTTCTCTGAAAGCATTTCTGACTTGCACTGCCTTCTTCAGGACAAAGCACAGAAAGTCTGTCATACATGGGACGTCACAGGTACACCCATAGTACTGAACTGTTGATTACAGATTTGCATAGGATATTTTCATTTTAGGATACGATAACAGAAAATTACCGCAGACACGTCCGCTATATGCTGCTTCATTTCGTTTGGCGGAAAGTCTCCACGGTCCTTGGGAAATCAAGTCTCAATGTAAGTCAGGCATTCAGTTTTAATTGACTCATCCTTTCGGGTCACACAAGCAGCAGCGTCAAACGACGTTTCGATGACGACGATTTTCTCGATCCTACGCCCTCCCCGCTTTTTAGGAGAAAACCTGAGTTTGAGCAGATTCTGTTGAGGAAGTTGTCTCAGCACAATCTTGACTTCCGTGAGGTCATCGGTCGGTCGAATGAGCAAATAATAGCTGTTTTGCGTGCATTATTGACGCGTTCACTAAATATAGCCAAATCACCGCAGTTGTGATTTCTCAATCTGGAGAAGCAGCGGCTGTACGCATACTCAGATATCCGAATTCCTGTTTCCGTTCAGACGCGTGAGTCCAGCCATTCGCCTAATTGAGCCCAATTAAGCCGCTTACACAAACGATAGTAGTTTTTTCTACCAATGGGCCAGCTAATCTTCGCTTGGGCGCACACATCTTCGCCGGTCGATCACTGGCACCAGATTTCGATCACCTGCAAGCATGACCCAAAGGTATGTTAACCTCTTCATCTGCTCCACTACTACACTACTTACTTGCAGAGCGCAGTAGAAGTGCGACTAAAAAGGCACTAGGCTTTTCGTTTTAGACGCGATCACACCCATGCCGCCCACATCGCACTCGGCTGCGAACCTTTCCACAGAGCACTAGAGATCAGTTTCAGATCAAATCGTAACAACAAGACAAAGTCACTTGTGAACAGCAAATAACATCTACTAGTAAGTCGCATTCGTCAGACCGTCTCCAGAAACACGAGGAGAGACTAAATCACTCTTGGAACGTTGAAGGATCTCGACTTAACGACATTTACTGCCACCAACATGCAGTGACTGGAAGGCTCCTAGGCACTGATCAGTACCCGAACCCTAACACATAGTGACCTGATGGCTCGCAGCAACTGACCAGCGATCCCATATCTCAGCAGGCACGCCCGTAGCATTTCCGCGGGTTACGGTTATGAGCTGTTTTCAGGTCCACAAATGGGCATGTTAACCAGATGAGCAAATTTCCGCAATTTCTCACCGTAGGGCGAAGATCTGGTGAATGGCTGGTACTTGGACCTGATCGAC